TCACATGTAGACAGGACAGGACCCCAGTAAGTACATCATAGTTAGGGTACCCAGGGTCCACCACTACATGTATATAAGCACATGAGGATCTAAGGGAAGACCTTAGATTCATTCATCTATTTCATGCAGCCTAAGAAGCCTTCACCCCCTCTTTGTGTGACATAAGGCTATGGGCCCTTTGAGCCCCTTTTTGTAGGCTGCATGTCACTGCATGCCTTTTTGGCCTAGCCCTTTGAGGCAGGCCCATATTTTGGTATTAGTGCAGGTCACTGAGTGTGGCTAGCATCTTGCAGCCATATCCTTGCCTTTTGACAGGATTTATCATGCGCCGTGACAAGACTCGAAGCCAAGTCAGGGCAGCCCAAGTCCTTGCCAAGGAAAGAGCATCTGGTAGAGCAGACTTCCCGGACATGGACGCCTCAGCTTCATCAACACTTTCAGCAGTGCCAAGCATCTCAGACAAAATTTTTGAGGAAGTGATCAAGACCGCGACCAAGACTGAGTCAGACACCGGAGTGACTACCGAAAATCTGTACCCCGAAATCCCAATCGACAACACGATGGCAAGCGTGGACGAATACGAACTGTCGATGTACGACAACGTGACGGACATAGCACAACAAGAAGATTCCATACTGTGAGATCTCTCCGCAATTCTTCCCAGGCACTTCGCAGTATCAAGGGACACAGTGACAACCCCGTCCGAAGTACGAAAATGCAAACATACGCTCTCGTACATGCCCAAAGGAGCATCAGGCGAGATGGCCCTGACGGTCACTGTTCAGCGACCCCCGGAACTCGTAACAGGGACTCGATCGGTGTTCACCTTGCAGATACCAATTTTCACCATGGCAGGGCACAGTGGAGGATCTGGTCCAGGCAATGGAGGATCCTATGGCAGCAGCAGAGGAGGAGGCAGCAGACTGGGCAGGAACCCGGGTGGTGGCCTGAGCAGATCGAGCAGACTTGGCAGCAGATATGGTGGAGGATCGGGCAGCAGTGGAGGAGGAGGTGGTGGACCAGGCAGATCAGGCAGACCAGGTGGACTGGGAGGACCAGGAGGTGGTGGCAGCGGGCCAGGGCCAGGACCAGGACAAGCTCTAGGAAGGGGTTTCTTGATGCCAGCCCGAGGACAGAAGACTTCTCCAACATTTGACGGAAAGCCTCGAAAGCTGCGCCAATACTTTAATGATCTGGATGAGCTAGCGATCCAGGTCAGGCTTACAGGAGCACAGAAAGTTCACTATGTGCTGTGCTACCTCACCGTACAACAGGAGAAGTTATGGTCTACAGTTCCCACGGAGGCAATGGCTGACTACGTGACATTCAGACAGCAGATCTTCGAATTGTACCCCGGAGCAGAGGGCAATTGACTCTACACCATTGCCGACCTGGAACAATGTGTCTCCAAAGCACTCACCCAGGGCATTCACACTCATGCCGAAGAAGCTATCTATTTCCGTGAATTCGCTCCAATAGCGAACTACCTGATCTGGATGGGACGAGTATCACCCGTGGCCTGAGACGAGCGATATGTTAGGGGATTTCACCTGACCGAGAAAGCAACCATTCTGCTCCGGTGTGAGATACTGCACCCGAACCATCATCTGGATGATCCATGGAGCATAAATGATGTCCACGATGCAGCACAGAAGACTCTGGTGGGGGAAGGTCTAGTTGGGGATAGCTATGGGATCCTTGGAGAAGGTGCGAACGCCAGCAGTCCAGGACCCGCTCCGGCTGCCCCCACAACAACCTCTGCTACGAGCGCAACCAATGGAATGACCTCCAGGATGACTGCAGCAGCCATCAAGCAAGAATCTGGTAAAATTGCAGACCTGCAGAAATTGGTAGAATGCCTAACAAGCTTCTTACAAAGTCAGGCTCAGTGTCACGGTAACACCGGACAAGAGACCAAAAAGGACTAAAAAGGGACAGTCATGTGGAACGTGCCACCCTGATCCCCCTGATCCCTTAAGTGGTGCAAGAGCCTGTTGACTTACTAGTCGATGTGGCGGACGCAGGCAAGGGATAGAGATATATGAAGGAGCTTGTGAGCTCAGTGAGTGCTACAGGTAGTAGACGAGGAGAAACAATCTGAGGTTTCGTCCCCTACATGGCTGGTCTTATATACACGTACAGTGGGCTATCTTACCTAAGCTACCTATCTACGGGTATAAGCTAATGGCTGTACATGAAACAATAGGATGTCCGGAAGTAGAACAATAAGTGGGAAGATCGATGGTTGCCGCAGTAATGCGTGTGCACATCGTGCCTATCTTGGTTTCTCTTTTGTTCTCCGGTGTGAACATCATGCCTATCTAGGCTTCTGACTAAACTAATAGGAAGTGGAAGGCCAATGCATAACAATAGTCCTTGTTCCCTTTGTTCCCAAATGGGTGCCTCTATTGTATCCTGGAATAGACAGGTCCGACCGTATCATCTGTGGGTCTGGACCATAACATGTGATGTGGACTATCGCCTGATCTCTACACGTCATGTCTGTGGCTGAGTGGCATAAGATATTGGTGAAGCACGTGATCTGTGGTGTGAGAAAAGTCACGTGCGGACTTTGTGGCAAAAATCTGTGACACTACCCCCCTCTCAAGGCTCATTGTCCCGAGGAGCCAAAACCTTTATCACTGCTTCTAGTTGCTCTCAACGGTTGGTAGCTTTGGGAGGGAAGCCCTTCTGCATAATACTCGAAGGTTATTTGGGCTATTCTATCTCCCGGTTTGACCGAAAATATGAAATCCGTTGTGTTGATTAGTACGACCTTGAGTTCCCCAGTGTAATCTGGATCGACGACTCCTACGCCCACATCAATTCCTCATGCAGCCAGTCCGCTGCATGGAGCTATTCATGTATAGGTATGTTTGGGAGGGTCAATCGCGACTCCCGTTCCTATCACAGCTCGTGAATGCGGGGGGATTTCATGCATTTCTGCTGCATAAATATCCCATCCTGCTGCTTCATTTGAGGATTTTTTGGCGAGATCTGTCATTTTATGATATAGGAAGAACTCGTCTGGATGGTCGGACATGTTGATTCGGTGTGTGGAGATCGGTGCAACTTCATATGAGGATAATTCGAAGCGTTTTCCACCAAAAGTGATGACCCTGATTGGTGCTTTGGCTGCATCTGGGTGTTGCTGGTGGAATTCTTGAAGAAGCTCATCGGCGTTGGTAAGATTTGTTCGGGGTTCCCATATATTGTCAGAATGGTCATAGCCTTTCCATTTGACGAGGTATTGGACCCTTCCCCTTACGACCTTAGAGTCTAGTATTTCTTCAACTTCGAATTCTGGTTCTCCTTCGATTTCTATAGCTGGGGGCTTTGGGGGTTCGCAGTTTGCGACCGTGTCTTGATGGTACATGATCAATTTGCTAGCATGGAAGACTGGGTGTACCTTCATTTGCTTAGGCAGTTCCAGTTTGAATGTGACTGGGCCTAGCTTCTGAAGTACTTTGTAAGGTCCGAAGTTTTGTGTGCCTAGCTTCGCGGACTTGACTTTTACTCTGAGATCCTTTCCCTTGAGTAGTACCAGGTCTCCGACTTTGAATGGGACTTCTCCCTTTTTCTTGTCGAAGTACCATTTTATCCGTGAAGCCGAAATTTCCAATGCTGCCTTTGCCTGTTCTTGTGCCTCAAATCGGTGGGCGAATAGATGTTCCAATGAGGGATGACGTATTGATTCGTGTATGTCTGGTGCCATTTTTGGATGTCGGCTATATTCGACAAAGAATGGGGAAAGTGCGGTGGATTCATGAGTCTGGTTGTTGTATGAAAATTCTGCTGTTGGCAGGTAATAGACCCAATCGTTCGGTCTGTGGTTACAGTACATTCATAGGTACTGTTCCAACACCTGGTTAACCCTTTCTGTCTGACCGTCGGTCTGGGGGTGATATGCAGTGGACATTGTTGACTTTATACCGAGCTTCTGGCAGAACTCCTGGAATAGTTTGCTCGCAAATTGAGTACCTCTGTCTGAGATAATCTGGCGTGGCAATCCATGGAGTTTGAAGACTTCATTATAGAATACGTTAGCGACTTGCGATGAGGTGACTGTCTCGTCCATCGCATAGAAGTGCGCTCATTTCGTGAGTCTGTCCACGACGACAAGTATTGCCATTTTCTTTTCTCCCCTAAAGTCCATGGCTGGAGGAAGTTGTGTGATGAGGATCCACTGTGACAATCTCCCATGGTCCTCCTGGTACCTCGTTTGGTTGTAGTAGTCTGTATGGTTTTTCTCTTGAGAACTTGTTACGTTGACAACTGTCGCAACCTTGTACATATTGTTTAACCATTACAGATATTCCTGGCCACCAATAGTTCCGAGTGATAAGCTCCAACATCTTGAACCTGCCGGGGTGTCCAGCTGGTAAGGTGTCATGATGGAGTTTTATTAGGTCAAGGCGTAGCTGTTGATCCTTGGGGACATAAACCTTTCTGCGATGGAGCAGCAGTCCGTGCTCAAAGTTCCATTCTGCGAGGTTTTTCCCAAATTCGCGCTGTCCTGTAGTCAAAAGCGCACGATAATCCTTGATCATCATGTCATCTGTGAGTGCCTTCTTGATCCTTTCCAGTAGTTGAGCATCATCAACTTCAGATGCATGAGTGGGTCGAATTGCATTGATAGCGAAAAATTCGGGTTTTAACAGCATTTGATTCGAATTGTCGCTGTCTACCCCCCCTCTCATGGTCTGACCTCCTGGACAGAGGATCGGCACGTAGCATTGTCTTTCCAGGTCAGTGACTGAGTATAAAATTGAAACGTGTGAGGAATAATGACCAGCGCACTTGGCGCCAGGATAATTTCTGTGCCTGACGGAAGTATGTAAGGTTGAGATGATCTGACCAAATCTCAATGGGTTCTGGGTGGCCTTCTAAATAGTGTTGGTATTCTTCTAGTGCCCAGATAATGGTGAGCATCTCCTTGTCGTAAATCTCGTAGTTTCGCTCATGTTCGTTGAGCGACTTTGAGTAGTATGCGACTGGGTGCCATAGCTTATCTTCTCCCAGTTGTTCCAGTACTGCACCAGTTGCATAGTCTGAAGAATCTGTCTCCAGTTGGTAAGGCGCAGTATCATTGGGGAGTTGTAGGATCTGGGCTGAAGTGAACGCCGTTTTGAGTGCACTGAAGGCTTGGTCTTGCTCTTCCTTCCATTGCCAGGGTACGTCCTTACAGGTGAGAAGCGTTAAAGGTCGTGCGAGTTTCGCAAAGTCCTTTATAAATCGCCTGTAGAAATTTGCGAATCCTAAAAAGGCCTGTACTTGTTTGACCTTTGTCGGTGCAGGCCAGCCAAGTACACCTTCGACTTTAGCAGGGTCCATCTGTACTGAGTTCTTGCTGATGATCATGCCAAGATACTCGATTGAGGACTGTTCAAAGAAGCATTTCTCCGGTTTGGCATACAAGTCATTGTTCTGGAGGCACTGTAGAACTGCTTTCACTAGTCGTCGGTGTTCATCGAGATTGTCCGTAAATATGAGGATGTCGTCTAGGTAGACTACCACCTTTCCAGTGCGAATTAAGTCTTCGAGGACTGTATTCATCATTGTTTGGAAGGTGCTAGGAGCATTGCAGAAACTGAAGTACATTACGGTGGGTTCGAAGAGGCCACGATGTGTGATGAAGGTGGCTTTCTCTTCGTCTCCTTCCCTAATCCTTATGTTGTTGAACCCCCATCTCAGATCAAGCTTCGTAAATATACTAGCATGTGAAAGTCTGTCGATGAGGTCCGAGATGCATGGGATTGGGAACTTGTTCTTCTTTGTGACTGCGTTGAGGTTCCTGTAATCTTGTACGAGCCTCAGTGATCCGTCTTTCTTTTTGACGAAGAAAACGAGTGCTGCGGTTGGACTCCTTGATCTCTTGATGTAACCTTTGGCCAACTCTTGGTCTATCCACGTGTCGAGCAAATTTCTTTCCTGTAGATTCATAGGATATAACTTTGCCGGGCGTGGTAACGATGCTTCTGGAACAAGTTCGATTGGATGATCGTAGGGCTTTCTTGTGGGCATTTGTTCCGACTGCTTCTTGGAGAACACATCGCCATACTCGTGGAAGTGTTTGGGGACATAGGCTGACCAGTAGTCTTTGT